GGTTGGAGTTGGATGCATGCTGGACCGATGCTGGTAGTATTGCGGCCGACGTTGGGAGTATCCAAATGCTGTGCTGCCCGAAAACGTAGTGAACCTATGGGTGGGACCGCATATGGAATTCCAAGATACGCATTGATTGTATCAGACACTTCTATGCCTCGAAGCTTACCGGAGGTCGTTTGGATGACAGGAACCTCCCATGCGGAGGAGATAGAGGTGATTGATAGTAGAGCTAGAAGGAGAGTTGCGAGTGTTTGGAGCATTTGTTCCAAGGTTTACGTCTGTCTATGTAGGTCGAACATTATGAGTTTATATAGTCAAGCGTGTAACTGGAGAAGTACAGTGCATACCATGAGTCAACCCACAATCCCAAGACCTTTTTCATCGTCATCCTGTGTTACGTCGAGCCTCTAAATGGATCGTAGCTGCGGCAGCACAGCTTACGTTATCGGGTGGGCATGCCGAACAGGTAGACGCAGTCGAGCAAAGTCTTGGAAAACTAGTGAGATGTATTGGATTAGTGGAAACTGGTTGTTTACCTTTGGCTATGCCGCCTTCTTTCGGAGGAAGTCCTTCTCCCCGTTGTTCACTCCCAGTGTAGCGCAGTCATTAGGCAATGCACACCATCCTCTCAGGTGCATCCGAGTACTCGATTCCCGATACTTCTCTTGGGGCTCTTAACGTCCAGCATAACAGCATGAGGAGCCGACACTTCTTGGCTCCGATAAGCGGATCGAATTTGCGTGGCTGATGGGTATATATCAAATTCCTGACCTACACTAATTGTAAACAAATCAAAGTGCTCGGGTTCCAGAGAGACCTGGCGTGGGCACAGTTGGTATAGTCTGCTTCAAGAGGTAGAGGATAGAGACAACAATGCTGAGCTGAACCCCGAACCTTTCTTAAACCGGGTTTCGCGTATCGCACGGCCAAAATATGTTTCGCTGATTTGGGTTTTGTTGAATAGGTCTGCTCAGCAATGGGTAGATATCATGTCTACGGTTCAGAAGGATTTTAGTAAGGAATGTGCATGGTAGCTAATGAATAAAGTTCACCTTCGAATATAGTCTAAGACAGAGCTTTCCCAGACCAAAAATCCATTTTGCTATGCCGAATGGATAGACGTAGTCGAGGGAAGTATTGGAAATCCAGTGGAATGTGTAATGTTAGGAGGCATTTATTTATTCTGTTTGGGGATGCCGCCTTCTCTAAAAGGAAGCCACCTTTCTCGTTGTCCACTTGATACGTGGGCAATGTACGTCACCTTCTGCGATATTGCCTTTATATTTGCTCATGAATCCCCATGCACTTCTCAATATCATAACACTCTCATAGGGGCAACTTTGTTTCATGAGTTAAATTCAGGCATTTGGGTAAACATATTTGATTCTACGCCATGGACAACGGCGCGGTTTTCAGAGGTATGTAGTATCGACCCAGCTAGTGTAGCTCGAGCCGAGGACGGTTGAGATAGAGACAGCACTGCTGAGTTGGGTCGCGAAGCTTGGGCGAGCCGAGTTCCATGCACCAGATCTGCAAAAAAGTATTGAAATGCAATTTAGCTAGTATAGGATGCATTACATGGTATACACTCACCCAGAATTATTGTATCTATGAGTTAGGGACAGGAAAGTGAGTATAGGTGGAGGATGCTCGATGAATACTCACTCTCCAAATGTAACGTGATCGGTCCTGGTATCTGAGCTACTCCAGACGGACCAACCTGCCGCTTTCCTATTGAAACGAACCATTGTAAGCTTTGTATACGACCTTTTGTGTGAATAAAGAGGCACTGACACATTACTACCAAGTACTCTAATAATTACGCGTCAGATACGTTCATCTGCACCCTAGGTGAGCACTTACGAGTTTTGGAAGATGACACGGGCATAGTTCCTCCAAGGTCGGCCTAGTAGCAAGACAATTAGAACGAAGAATGTCATATTCAATGACAAAAATACCCAGATAGGATGTTCCTGAGCCTATGAAGTCTGTGAGGAACTTTCATCGAGAGCCTTCCAAGAATATGCGTACCTTGGATGGTCGAACTGTTAATGACATAGTAGTTGGCATCATCAGAACTGCGGCCTGAAGCGGTTATATACCCGGAACCAGTCTATCGATCCCTCATATGTGAGCTTTTCGTATAGCGAGGCTGGTGACGGACAAACGAACCGTCTGAATAACGCTCTTGGTGATCCAGATGGAGGCAGTCTGGCCAAATATCTAACCACCGTAAGATTAACGGCGAGTCCTGAACTCGAATGTAGACGTACAAAATCGACATATCCAGAAATGAGGCATTTGGCATATACTTGTGTCCCCTTTGGCACTTTCAATAAAGGTCTTCAACGGCAGCTGCGAGTAGTACTTACAACGTTAGCGAGTAATGTATCTTGAGTTCCCTGAGATGTCGATTAGCTCCGCATTGACAAAATGAAAAGGGGATTACAGAAATTTGGCAACCATAGCATCCGAACTGTCCGGCTTGTACGCTCAAAGCAATGGCTTGAGACTGATCCACTGGCTATGTCACATTTCAGGACAAGTACAAGCCAATATAGTGTGGGATACTCACTTTGCCGTAGGTATTGGCGATGTTCAAATTGTACAATTTCACACCTGTGGCCAAAATTCTAACCGTTCCGCTGGCATCATTGCTGCCAGCAGAGGAAGCAGGCACGTTATCTGTCAACGTGACCTTGTTTCCTGTATAACTAGAGGAGTCGGATGTCTCGCCATAGATTTTGATGTTTGACCGACTAATGGCGACTTGACCTGTATAACTTCCAGCATAGATGTAATATACACTGCTGCAAGTGGCGTAAAGCCAAGTTAAACCGACTGTGATGCGGCAAACGAAGTACTTGCCTACTAGTGTCTTGCAATGCTGCAGAGAGAGTGGAGTATTTGCCGCCAGATCCAACGGTGATAGCCCCAGAAGGTATACCAGATGCTAATCGCGTCCCAAATTGAGTCAAACCGGGCATGGGAATTGCAAAAAGAAGCGATAAATATCGTACAACGCCAATACTCACAGGCAGTTGCGGTGGTTGAAGTGCGAGTGGAGGTGGTTGTGGTTGAAGTACGAGTGGATGTAGTTGTTGTCGACGAACGAGTCGTCGTCGTCGTCGTCGAAGTACGAGTGGAAGTAGAAGTGGACGTTGCCGTAGTCGAAGCGGGAACACACTGTGAGAAGCTGTAGTCATTATCTATAGGCTAGGTCCAGAGTTCAACGATACCTGGGAGTACCCTTACAAGCGTTATAGTAAGCGAGCGTGACTCATATCATTCGCATTATTCTACTTACAATCATTCTGCACAACACATTGCCACCTGCAATTATGTCAGTGGGTTGAATAGGTAGTTAGGTCAAGATCCTAACCCAGCATTACAAGTCGTCAGTCCTATTGAAAGAAATAAGCACTCTTGAACTCAGCGGCCTCGACGAGACATGTACCTGTCCAACCAATACCACCACATTGTCCGTAGTTTGACTGTTGTGCTTTGACGGTCGATAGGACGGTAGCTGCAAGTGCAGTGAGAGAGTAGATAGGCTTCATATTCTACAGGGTGACAATCTGCGGAGCAGAGGTAAGGGCCAAGATTCTCTTCTGGGCTCGGGACTCAGAAAAAAATCAAGAGTTTGTGCCTTTAAGGATACTTTTCTGGAGTCGAATTGGTTATTCAACGGTACACCCCAACCTCCACGCCAAGGGAGTCCGCGACCCGGGTGCCAGTCTGACTGCACCCTGTATTCATTAATAAAACCGCACTATTGAGCTGGATTCACATGATTTTGCCGGCACAGCAAGAACAGAAGTCGAGAGATTCGCTCAACGTGGAGAATTTTCGTCTATCTGAACAGATCAAAAC